AGTATCTATGCTTAATGATTTATTTAATTATATGAAAAGTTTCGTATTCAGGTCCACTTTTTAAATAAATTAACAACCATAAAAAGATAACAGTCATTGATTTTAATAGTTAATTAAGTAACTATATATTATATCAATAAAATTCTTGAGAGTTGCTCCAAATACCATTCCGCTTGGATTGCTAACGTTATAATTATAGATCAGCGAGTTTTTATTGCGCAAATATAAACGACTTTCTCAATTTGCAACACTTTTCCTACGTATTCCCTGTACTCAAGCGATAAGATTTCCCCACAAAAAAAAAACGAAAGCGTTCTTTCCACGGTCGAATAATTCGAAACAACTTTGAAAGCATATTACTTTCAAACAATGAAATTTATTCGAATACACATACGAGTTTGAATTTGTTTTTAAAACGAGTTACATATTCTTGTGACAATGAAACATTGAATAGCGAATGCAAGTTACGAACACAGTAACTTAAACACACAAAAGGAGTTTAACCGATTAGCTAATTATAGCATTCTTTTACAGCGACGTAAGTGTAGGCTATCTCTCTCTCTCTCTCTCTCTCTCTCTCTCTCTCTCTCTCTCTCTCTCTCTCTATCGGAATAATCTACTATACCATACCAGGAAAAGTATAACGTTAAAGTTATATGTAATGATGAGCATGTAATGATCTAATGCGCGTATAATTCAGTGATTTCACTTTTTTTCGTAGAACTGTATGCTATTGAATATGTTCGTAAATTTTTAAAAGCCTAAATACCTCTGAAAAAAGGTTAAGCAAGAAATAAGACATGATAATATTATCAATTTATAATATATATATATATTAATCTGATTGGGTTATCTACGTACAAATAATTTTGAATAAATCTTTGTGAAGAACTATTCAATTATATTTTTAAAATTATTAATAAACACTATTTGGATTTCGATCATGAGATTTTTTACAATTTACATTGAAAAAACTGATTATTCATAATTACCAAATGCATTTAGTTATGGATATTTGCTAAATATTGGATTACTATTATTATATTTGATAATAGCTATCAAATATTTATTAGTTTAGTTATTTAATAACTTTTGTCCATGATTGAATCAACTAAGTAATTTGGTGATAATTTATCAAATATTTAATATATATCACTAAATATTTAAACTATAATAAAATGTTTAATAAATATTGCTAAATCATTTAATTTAATTTTCGACAAATATTACTACGTGTAATTCAGTTTATTTAATTATTACATAATACATAAAATCTACAGAAAATAATTATCCAAATATTGTATAAAGTAACACGAATGCGCATTGATTCATGGAGAAATGCCCTTCACGACGAATCTTTTTAAATCACATTTTTCGAGTGTATTTGAAATAGACGATTGTACCTTAATGATTTTATGGATTCAATACAATAGCATATATAAATATTCAAATTGCGATATGTGATAGTTCTAATGCTGAAAATAATTTATTCAGAATAATAAAATATAACATAATTTTAAAGAAAGCAGAAATTGTTTACGTTATTTATAGCACAAATGTATTACTTTAGGTTTTAGAAACTTATTTTCAAGCTCTTCTTATGAAGTTGAATTATACAAGAAAACAGTTAATATAGAATACACATAGTTCACATTTTGAAAGCATATGATATCGAAACATGTTATTTCCACATTTTAGGTGAAGAATGATATTTCGTTTCAATGTTCGATATTTAAAGATATTAAAAAATAAGTAATAATAAATAAGATATTCTAAAAACTTAATAAAATTCAGTATAATTTCAAATACAATATTAAATTATATAATCTATTTTTTGTTGTTTCAAAGATACTTTTTAATTAAATATTTATTAATAAGTTGTCGAATAATATATATTTATTTATTTTAATCAATTCAATAATACTAATAAAATTATTTATCTTTTTAATCAAGTATATGATTGTAGTAACCAAATGTTTATTAGCTATTACTAAATAATTTATTATTTTCAACAAAAATTTTATAACAGAGTTATCAAATATCTTTTTTCTCACAATCGCAATTTGGTAAAATATATCGCAAGTATTATCATATTTGATGATACTTGCGATATATTTTATTTAATGCTATTAAAATTTAGTAACAATTATTAATGTTTAATTTGAATGAACTAAATTTGTAGTAGACTTGAATAAAATTTAATTTATTGAACTAATTTGTTTACTATTTTGTTTACTTAACTAAATTATTTAGTAATTGTTAATAAATATTTAGTTGACACTATTTAACCGAAGCATTTAATAACAGATACTATTATATCAAATCCTTTTTTTCGGTGTAAAAAATATGGGAAGCCGATTATTTTCAAAAATGCTATGATCTTACTCTGAAAGAAAAAAACAAAGTACCTTTTCCGCATACACATATATTTAATTCTTATATGATCTTTAAAGATCCAACACCAAAAGATACTTTACAAAAGTATTAATTACCTTCCTAAAGCTGAGCAGCATGTGCGTAACACAACACCACATACACTAGTCTAGCGAATGATACTTCACGACACTGAATATCAAGGGAGAGAACGGACGCAACGTAGAAACGTTCACTTCGATCGTCAGGGTCTTCGCGAGAGTTTAACAACTGTTTTGCGACGGTGTGACGCGTCCGATCAGTCGCGTCCTGCCGGCCACTGTGTTTTCGTCAAGAAGCGTCAACGACACACGATGATGGTGATGATGATGATGATGATGGTCCGTCAGGACGCGAGCGTCGTCCATCGGAGTTCGCTGTCGCACGGACTCTCGTCGAATGGTACCATCGCGGCGGGGCGTCGCGCATTTTTTTTTTCGTGGGCGTTTCTCAGCCGGCAAATTAAGTCGGGAAAATTGAGGACGATTAATACTTGAGGCACGCAGCACGTCGGCTCACACGGCGGCCATTGTACGTCTCGAACACACGGATGGGGCCAGTACGTTCAAGAGAGAGCAAGACTCGCTGTCCCCCTACCATCGGCGGGGAAGCCGTTCGTATACAGGGCGTTTAGAAAGTCCGCATCGGACTTCACCTGTCTCTAGTTCGGTTGGAATCGCTGTTAAATGGAATGTCTGCGATATGTACATATATTTGTTGAAGGCTATATTGTATCTTATTGTTAGTAAACCGTAATCTTCAAAGTTACGAATGACACAGTACTTTGAACGTCGTCTCTCAAGCAGAACAACAAGTCACGATGACGTCAAAATGACATTAAAATCGTTACTGACTGAAAAGTGACAATTATTAATCATTTTGGAGCTATTTTGATATTATTTTGATGTTACGATGACTTGTGCTTTGCTTGGGTTAATACTAGTATCATTTAATAATAAAAAATCAGAGTGTCGAAGAGACGCTCGCCGTGTCAGAGATTGAGTGAACTAATTCCTACTTTGTCGCCACCCTTTAATGAGCCTTTCGTCAACAGCTTTGTACATGTAACTGGTAGCGGTACTCTCCCTTGAATGGAGACTTCCATGACCGGAAGAGATCTTATAAATCGCGATAAATCACGTACGTGGATACGAGCGTGAAAGATTTTATAATCGTATGACCTATTAAAGTGGTTCACAATGATCGCCACGAATACAAGTACAGTAAATAACTGTACTAAAGCGTCGAATCAGACCGAAAAAATGGAGTACATAAAAAGAATCAAATTGATAATGCAATTTTCAGCTGCAATCAGGCTGTTCAAATAACAGTTTGTTCCCAAGAATGCAAGGATAAATTAAAATTCCAAAAGCGTATTTATTCGCGCGCGACTTTATCGATGAGTAATGTAAATAAAAACGATTTCCTGCTTTATAATTTCCAGAAGATTATGATAAGAGCAAAAGTGTCACTGACCTATTCGAAGTAGTTGTTTCATCGCTCGATATTTGCAATTAGGAGATGGACTATTTATTTTTGAAATACTAGATTTAAAATTCTAATTAAAGCGGTATATATTTACAGAATTATTTAAGAAATATCTAAAAAAAAGCTTGAAAGAATCTATCAATAATAATAAAAATAAGCAAGCCCATCAAAGCCAACATCAGTTGTTCGGATGCACAATTTATTTTCGTGTAATTTAACAAATCATATCAAAAATTAATTAATATACGTTTTGATCCCTATTTTTGGGTCCTTATCAATATTGGATTCCGTTCTCTTTTTATCTAACTTGGAAATTGGGTAAAGAAGAATGAGCTGTATCGCTTCTTTGAATTTGCGTATAGTATGTAAGCGGATTTAGGTTTATATTGATAAGGACCCAAAAATAGGGGTCGAAACGTATATTAATTAATTTTTGATATGATTTGTTAAATTACACGAAAATAAATTGTGCATCCGAACAACTGATGTTGGCTTTGATGGGCTTGCTTATTTTTATTATTATTGATAGAATTATTTAATTTCGTTCGATATAATCGTAATAAAGCGAGTATTCTGCGAGCAATTCTATTGTATCATATCACGATTAACCAACATAATTTCTTTAAGCGCGCATAAAAAAATTTCGCGCGGTAGTACACACATGCGGGATGTGATGACACGTTTTGAATAAATGTGTTTGCGGAACAAACGAGTTATGAGATAACGCTCGAGAAACATTACGAGGAAGAAAGGTGCAAGTCAAGATGTCTTAGCGCGAACAACTAAAAATAAAGATGCGTTGAATACCAATTTATTTAAAACGCACCGATATAAGGTAGAAAATCCTCCTGTCTTTTATTTATTTCCTTGTATTGCCAATGGCTGTGGTCAAAGTCTACAAATGCTTTGAAGAAATGCGTTTGATGGACCAATTAGAAGAAAGAATTTTACAAACTGACCAATTAAAAAACGCTTCAAAGCATTTGTAGCACCGCGTTGACCGTACTCAATGTTTGTTCAATTATATATATCTAACGATCGCACCGTGTGAATATCATGTCTGCGAATGGCGCCAATATTATCGTTACGAAAGTGTGTTTTAGCAGTTTGCAACCCCTGCCTTCGTTACGCCGCGCCGCGCCGCGCCACGGCTCTCGGAGAGGCTGCACGGATAGCGGACGACAGCCTCGCAGCGGCCGGTGTTCGTGATAAGCAGTGCAAATTTGACGTTGCACTCCGTTGCCAAGAGGCAGATAACAATTTACGCGTTAATATATTAGCCGACGTGCGACGTATCTTTACGAGGGCGTGCGGTGCAAACATTTCCAACTAAGACTTTGACAGCGCAAATGTCGGTAATGGTCATTAACCCCGCAGCCCCGGGTAAGCGGCTTAAGGTATAAAGGGTTTGTCGCTCATCCCGCCCGATTACTCCGTTGAGAGAACTCGGCGCTATGGAAGTGACGCTATGGAAGCACTCGCTCGTCGTGTATCTTCTCGTCGGTTTGAGCACGCTGTTAGTGCACGCTGAAAGGAATGCCGAAGTCGGCGGAGCCACCGAGGCACCGATCACCGAGGATCAGCAGAAGGTGTACGATGAATGCCGGAATCCAGACTACAAAAAATACGTAAAGTGTTTAATGAGGCCGAAGAGACACGGTCATCACACAAACCACGGAGACGGGCCGGAAACTGGTAGATCACCAATCGCTATAACAATCGAGATAAACACGGGAATTCGCGTGCCGCTCGGAAGCGCTCCGTTCAGACATATTATGCAACTGCAGCTGTTGCACGATCATAGAAAGATAAACCGTTGCATTAAATTAAAATTACTCGATCTTTTATAACGCGTTACAGACGCAGTTACGCAACACGGTTGTTCGTTGGCGCGACTTTCAAGTACGATGGATAAATATAACCGCGATATAAATATATCATGATGGCCTTTATTGTTATACAATTAATTATGCATAACTATATGCCGTATTATTCTGTTCTGTTTGTTTTGTTCGTGTTACAAGAAAATTGTGCCTTGCTATTGTAAATGATAAAATTCTACAGATTCCGCTCATTGTCTGGAAACGTGTCTTAAAAAGTGCGAACATCACTTGGATCTCGATTGCGAAAAAAAATGCGGCTACTGCACGAAAAGAACCAGGCACAGACATCAGATCATTACGGAATACGAGACGGAATGCGAATCGGGAAACTGCAGTCCATCCAGTGGCGGATTAAGGACTACTAACATAACGACGAACATCGGCATTAATAATGTCATTAATCCTTTCGGGGGCGGCGGTGGTAATGCTAGTGGATTCAATATTTTTGGAAATGGTACTGGGTGGGGTTTTCCTCCAGGAGGCTGCTGTCGTGAGTCAAAGCCTCTATTTATTAATATAGAATCTATTAATGATATAACTTCCCTGAAATGCAATTTACTGAACAAAGAACATTTTAAAGTTGGCTTCATTTCCAATTTACAGCACCCGGAGGTCCTTGCCGTCCCGGTAGTCCCCCCTGTTACCCTGGATCAATACCATCGCTTCCTATAGTACCTCAAATCTCGTTAGTACCGCAAATTACATACGGAGTAGGATTCGGAGCCGCAGGTGGTTGCGCGTATAATCAGTGGCTTTGCATTCAACAAACCGGCGCACAGGTAGACATACCGTATCGAGTCAGAAATATTCTTTATATATTAAAAGACGATGTAATCGTAGTTTCCAAGCGTGCAGCCCGATTGCTCTGGATGCGGCAATCCTGTCTTACGCTACAAGTGTGACGTAAATTGTTACGCAACTCACGACGCAGCAACTAAATCACCTTGCAAAAGTCCGGAATGCATTGGTGGTGAGCGCTTATTATGAATTCATTAATTAACACTAATTATCGTTAATTAATTTAAAATGTGATTTCTTTTTTTTTGTCTATCATTATGACATTCCTGCTTTTATTTACGTGCGTATATAAACGTAGAGTATTATTATTTTATATTTTAGGTTCCACGTAAAAATATGTCGGATTTATTAAAAGCGACTACTGGAAACGAAGAATATTTTATTGATCACTCATATTGTTTATATTTATGCAATTTATAGTTCATGCTAACAGTGATGGACTGGATAAGAAATTATAGCTATAAAGTAGTCCTAGATTTACCATGCATAAAACAATTCTTCATCTATTATAATTACTTATATGTGATCTGTTTCCTAACATTAACTTATGTGAAATAAAAGCGATCTTATTTTTCTTTTACAAAATTCTTTCTTCGACTATGTTCACGTTGAAATATTATTGATGAAGTATGTTGGTCGGTTTTATAATATAGAAAAAAGTATATGTCGATGGGAATGCGACCATGTATGTATGGTTGTCAATCTCTTGGCACAATAGAAGGAATTTTTATTACGATTAAATAGTCACTATTAAAATTATCTATCTAAATTAATTAAATTATAAAACAATGAAATGAAAAATAATGGCTCATATGATTAAAAATTAATCATAAAACAAGGAGCTACGCGTTAATTAAATTACTTTAATGCTAATTCAAAATTATATATAATTACAAATAAATTTTCCGACCTATATGCGATTGTAAATTTTGTATCATTTTTATCACCAGCTGTTATAACATTTATAATGACCTCATGTATATAGATCGAAACGTTTGTAATAATAAATGATATTTTAGATTAAAATAATTTAATTGGCTCATAGCCTCTTGTGTTTTATGATTGAATTAAATTATACATTTCTAATGAATGTAGAATCATGATGAGGCTCGAAAATCCGTTATAACATAAAACAGTTAAATAATATTCACAAATCTATTATTTGGACATATGGCTAAAAATAACGTTAGAATGTAATGTACGTAATGCAAGTAAATAAATGAATGGTCATATTGAAACTACAGACGCAATTGCAAAATTTGTCTTGCATTATGCGTAACGCATCGGCCGTTATTGGCGCGCCGATCGCCGGCATCGACTGCATTGCGTGGACAAGCGATGTGCTTTCGAACCCCTACGGACAAGCGAGTGCGAGAAGGCTCCATCAGGTGTCAAGGTGGGAACAGGTGCTGGAAGCGTAGAGCCGCAATATTCAGGTGCACCGTGGCGAAAGACTGTGACATTACGACGGTTACGAGAAGACTGAGTACAAAACGAACGGAATTGTTTTTTATTCTCGTTTTTCAACGTGCCTCAAAGCGGGAAGTTGAAAAAGATTTTCTCCGAGACGATTATTGATACAAGAACGAGAAAGATTCGACATTATTTTTCATAGTCGTTGGAATATTATTTTGACCGATGCTTGTGTAGATAAAAAAAATGTTTAATGATTTTCTGATCTATTGGGCAAACTACACGATATGAGCAAACAGCAATAGTAATTTAATTTTTTGTTTTTGTCAGAAAATTATTAATATTTTTTCTGTGAACCAAAATAACAACTTAAGAGCAATTCGTATTTACGATAATTACCTGATCACTTTACCATTATCGTGTTCGCACGGACTTCGTGAAAAGATTCCGAGCATGAGTCCGAGCTGCCCAAACAAAAAGTACTTACAATCGTGAACCTATTACCTGCCTTTCGCAATGCACCGGCTTCGATAAGGTTGGCTAGCGAAAGTGCTTGTAGCATCCCGATCAAGCGCAGCGTGGGAATAGCAACTTGTTTCTCCTACTACCATCTTTCTTTCAATTCCGAGGCGTGGATAGATCCCTTTCTAAGAGACCTAAGTGCGTCGTTAACTCTTGCCATATTCCATGGATAACATGGTGAGGATAAAAATTAAATATCACCATGGGAAAGGAAAACGGTTTTTTATCGATTATCGATTTTTTTAACACACGCGCTAAATGTTAACCCGTTTTCCTTCGCATCTGCAAACATCAGCGCCTCGTTGTGGCATAGAAAGTTATATAACATAGAAGACACGAATATAAAATTAATTACAAATATGTTACGTTTATCCTTTTGTATAGTCTATTGGAACGTAAGGCTGAAGCGCTCACATTTATTGGTCGCCATTGGTATATCGTCGGGGAGACCCGGAAGCAATATTCTACGAGAGTATTTTGCGTGAGGAACGTGTAAATGCAATATTTTACCAGCATCGATACGTACCTGAACAACTACGCTAGGCGGACTTGCCCTTAAGCGACGCCTTCCATCGTTATTGTATTGTTAGAACAGACAGCTAGCCAATACGTACACACGATGCCGTCACCGTATACGCTACGTTATGCCACACCAGTTTCTCGAACGATAAGAATGCAATGTTTCCCTCTGGCGGGCCGGACAGCGTGGGCCGTCCTGCCTCCGAACAATCAAATTTACTGCGAGCGCAGAGGATTGTTCCTGTTATTTCAGCCCACTCCTGCGCGAGCATCCGCCAATCAATTTCTTCTTTCGTTAGTCCTTTTAATGATTCTTTTTATGTATTGGACATACAAGATTTCTTTTTGCGCGTTAGACAAGATCTCTATAATTTCTTTGTTCTTGATAAAAATAATTAATACCGTTTTCACGGAAAAAATAAGAGTTGCAATCTCTCCAGGTAGAATACAAAATCATAATAAGATCAAGATGGCATCAAGTAGAAATCATTTTAGGAAAAATCATAATGATATTATCCAATACACTTTTGATGATAATTTTGTGATGAATTCTTAACATGAGCATTATGATTTTTCCTAAAATAACTTTCATTTAATGTCATCTTGATTTTATTATTATGATTTTGTCTTCTACCTAAGAGAATATTAAAATTAGTTCATGGAAGACATTTTATGATCGATAGGTATATTGTCACCAAGCACTGAGGAAGTAACTTCCTCATTTCCTTTCTTTTTTTTCGGTCTACACCTGGTGTGAGGCTTATCAAGCGCATGACGGACCACCCACGGATATGTGTATCGAAACCCAGGTGGAACCATTAGAGCGAAAGATCGGCTCATATACCAGACCGCTAACATCCGTCGGTTGGTGTATCAAAAAGTCATACACCGTCAAGCCATCAAGTTTCGTTCTATACAATATATTTTTTATAACTCTCCATCTATTCTCTGTGTGTACTTTGCGTAAAAGGATTGAAGGGTACGCTGCATGATATTGCGCCAACAATACGCTACGCTCCTCCC